TAGCATGGGATTTCTGGGAGTTGAAGTCCACATATCTTAAAGTTACCAAGGTTGAGAAACACTGCTCTAGAGAACCACTGTAAGGTTAGGCAATACTCATTTAGATAAAGTACAGCTCCAGTTCTGTCTAAAGTAAGTTATTCTATTGCTTTTATTAAAGAAACAGCCTCATAATGGAATATGCACCTCAATTAAAAAGTTTCAGATTGTGCTACAAAGTATATACAACCTAGTACTAATATTAGTAGTTCTTCCTCACTTAAAAAAACAAGGACATTTCTCAATATTTTAAATGATCCATCTTTACAGAGAACAGCAGCGTCCATTTTTAGTGGTAGGGACAATTAAATCACTAGAGGTCAAGAACTTCTGCCTGTGATTCTAATCCTGACCCAGTTTACCATGTAAATAATGGGTTGCTATTGACAAATGTTGTAGTGAGTTACAGAGAGGAGTTCCCATGTTTCTATGCTTAAAATGCACGGAGGCACACTGTATTTGCTCTTGCAGTACTGTACTCTCCCCCCCCCGCCCCCATCCATACCCACATATTTTCTGAAATTCTTGTGTTGCTGGCTAATTTAGAATTTGCAGGATGAATACCAAAGCAGGAGGACATTAAAGGAAGTCCCAGGACCGAAACAAACAGCATCATGTTTGTTTAAATTGTCCTCACCCACCTATAGCACCAGGGGTTCTTCCCTAATCTCCCATGATGAGCCCAACTGGTGGGGACAATTCCCCGAATTTGACTCACAAAGAGGTTGCTTTCATTGGGCAAGTTTTATAGCCTTGCAACCTCCCTCTCCACCTCCACCCCCACAGTTGCTTAGTTTAGGCATCAGCAAGGGCAGGTTACATATTAATGAGCACCTGCTACAGCAAAAGAGGGAAACAATTATCTAATTAGCGTTAGAGCAAAAAAATTGTTGTCCCACAACTTGCAAGAGTAAATAGGAAAAGCTAGCTTGTCTAAGCAGCCTCTCTTCCAGGTGTTAATTAAAAATGCAGGTCAATCGCAGAATACCACACCTCACATCAGTCATAATGATGTGGTTCTAACTCTAAAATTAGAATCAACCACATGGACACTGATGAGTATGTAGGAACCCTAGTTGAATGGCAGCAGCCTTGCTATTTGCCAGTCCAAAGAGGCTTCTTAGCTGTGCCTACTGTAAGAATAATCAGATGCAAAGGGATTGGGAATATATTGTATTAAGTCATGTGAATGTCAAAGTTCTTTCATTCTTAAGACAGGCACAGATATATACACACACCAGGCAGAAAAGGGATTGAAGTTAGTACATGTGCACAGATGAAGATCAGAGAAAGAAACTTATCTTATCTGCTTGGCATTTTTCTCTTCTTAGTGATATTCTGGCTCTGGTGGAATTAGCTGCTCAGCAACCACAATCGATTAATAAGCTCTGCAGAAAGATCTGGGAAAGTCAAAGTTACTGGTCATAGGAAAACAGAGCAGCTCAAAGAATCCACTCACCATCAGATGTCCTTCCCCCATTCCTATTTTTGGGACCTAACCCTTTTGAAATCAGAATGAGAACCTCATCCAGGGTGGTTGAGACACATAAGTTGTGGCCTTTTTTCTCTTGATAGGAAGATTTTCCCATTTTACTGAATATTATGCCTGTTTTATCCCAGCTGCTTTCCAAAGCCAATATACAATTTTGGCTGCCTAAGCTAACATGAGTTATGAAAGGAGAATAAGGGGAGGTTTAGAGGTGTCTTTCCTTTTCTTTGTTTGATGGCTGGGAGAATAATTCATTGGTGATACAAAACTGAATTGTATTTGCAAAATATGTGCCAACTGGGAATTGTGAATGTTTGTCCATTACAAAATATTGTCTCTATGCAGGTAAAATGGATAAAATTGGATTGCTCAGAGTATGAAAATAGAATGCCCCCTTCCTTTACAGAGAGCCACCTCAATATACATTACTAAGGTCTTTTTTCTCTCTTATTTTCTCTCTCCCCATCTCTCTCTGTTTCCCTTGGAGTCCCTCTGATGCCAGCAGAGGAATGAAGAACTTCTCCAGGCTGATGAGAAATGGCATTGCAAAGCTGGAGGAAATATTCCTCCCACTGACTGAAGTACAATGCACTTTAAAGCTTTGACTACTGGTGAAAGATTCAAGCCTAGAGAAAACCTGTCCACTTGGCAGAGAAAGATGAGTTGGATAATCTTCATGCCTTCCAAGGGGAATTTAGATTCCATGCTGAGTTTAATCTCTGTGGCATACTGGGAGATTTTCTCCTCCTGATGCACTGCATGGTAAGGCCAGTTCTTTTCTCACACAGAATGCTATTTGTGGTATACTAGTTTTTTCCCCATTTTAATTATATGCTGGTCTGTGACCAAATAAAATTTATTGATTCCCATTTTAATTCTGAAAACATGCAAAAATTCTCTTCCGTTCCTTACTCTTCTGATGGGTATCAGTGCTTACCATTATCAATTTTTATTACACTATCATATCAATGTTTATTACACTAATTTTAAAATAACATTAGTGAGGTGCTTTGTAATAGTTTGAGAGGAGATTTCAGATGATGAGTTTGATCCCACTATGCATTTATTTGTGGGGTTTTCATTGATTTCAACCAGGCCTATAAATGAATAACAGTGAATAGAATGCTTTTTTTTTTTTAAGTCCACTGTCAGACTAGCATGGCAGTTTCAAAGTGGTCTTTTGCAGTCTCATTCTCCTGAAAATAATAAATGTTATGCCTCCATATGTCCTACTATGAATTCCACAGATAACAAGATATATGCTGGTCTAAAACCATTACAAAGTTACTTACTATTTAGATGGCAAGATATGAAGGAATGTTTGACTCTATAGGTGTGGAAAGGGAGAGGATGGTTGGATTTTTTAATTCAAGACTGATTACGCCCCCCCCCAAGTCATTTTCTGTGTGTGATTTCATGCTTACCAGTGACTACCCAAAGAAAGCCATCAGTCACACAGATGCCGATTTCCAGCAATTTCCACCACTGCAGCTATAGTTTCTTGTAGCAGAAATCACTGCAAAGCATCTTCACAAAGTTTCTGGAAAAGCTGTACTTTCACTACATGTTCCTCTGCTTCTGTATGGTACATGTGGGGAAAGTCTCAATGAAACAAAATTAACTGTGGCCTGTTCTGTAGGTAAAATGTCAGCTTTACGCCTTCTCACAGCTTCCTTAAATGATAGCATACGATTTTACATTCTTTAGTACTAGAATGTTAACCAGACTTACAAAGAAGCTATATCCCACTGAACTCAGGTAAATATGTTTGGGGTCAAACTGAAAGTTTCCTTTTGGTAAAGAAATGTATCTTTTGCTGCAGTAGATGTTTTTGAGTCTTTCCATGTTTTTGAATTAGCAAAACATTGGTGGCTTGATTAGGTAGATAAAAGGACGGCCAGAATACCACTTTAGGTAAGAAATATGGTGTGTGTGAATTATCCCTTGTTTAATTATTTAAAAAAGACCTAAGCGAAAATTTCAAATTTGTATATATTTCCCTGATAACACTAAAGGACACATGTTGAGAGGCATTTCATTTCTGCCACTTTTTAAAGAATTTCAAATTCCATCCTAAGCTTAGTTCAGAGGATCCAAATTGGCTAGTGCAGTGTTGTCCAAACTTGGCCACTTTAAGATGAGCTGGCTGGGGAATTCTGGGAGTTGAAGTCCACTCATCTTAAAGTGGCCAAGTTTGGACAACACTGGGCTAGTGTAACTGATTGATTGATTATGTGCCATCAAGTCATTTTCAATTCCTACTGATTTTCTCCATAACAATCTATCCCCAACCTGGTCCTTCAGGTCTTCCAACAGTGCACCTACCTTGCTGCTGGTTGTCCTTTTCCTTTCTTTCCTTCCACTTTTCCCAGTGTTAGAACCTTCTCCAGAAAGCTAGGCCTTCGCATAATGTGTCCAAAGTAGGATACTGCTCATTTGTAATATTAAGTTATTATTAATGAGGAATTACAGTGTAAGCACAAGAGAGAAAGGCACTAAGTTGAAACCCTTTGAAAACCCTGAGTTTCAATCCTAAGTTGAAACCCTGAAAAGTATAGCATGAGAATAAGGTCAGAAAAGAGTTTATTTGGCAAAATTAGATTCTGGATTGTTCTAAGGAGCAGGTGAAACTCTGAACAGATGACATGGGATAAGTCCTGGATTGAATGAGAGACTTGAACATTATAGGCTTAAATAAGGGACAAATTGGGAAGCTATAACACTTGGTTAGAAAGTAGTGTCTGGGGTAACAACTCACATGAAATGCTCTTTAACAATACTACATGGTGGCCTGGTATGCGTAGCATACTAAGACAATGGGTGGGTTTCCCACAATACCTTGAAACACAAACTAACCAACCCTATACTTTCTCCAGGAAAGGGAGCTCTTGTACCAGATTTCATAACAGTATTGTAAAATAACCTTGGTCAGATAGGCAGCACTGAGTGTGAAAAGAAAAGGAAGTCAAAAACGTGGGAAAACCTACTGTATATTCCTTTACACACACAATCTGGCTGCTTCCCTTCCAGTGACCCCTTTCTCCCACAGTTTCTACCACACAATACCTCCCCAGCATCACTTGACAGAGGGGAGAGGACCCCCACTCCTACTATCAGGCCAGTCTTCACAAACTGGCTCCCGAGAAGAAAAATAGACCCACCCTCCTTGCAGGAGAAGCAAGCCCTTTAATGTGGGAGAAAAACAGCTGCAGAAGAGAGACACATCTCTTTCCATAACAAACCCCCATAAGGCTGCCAAGGAAGGGGAGCAGGAACATTTTCCTTGCATGCTGGCAGGGCTGGCATGGACTGGAAAACAGGGCAGCAGACACCAGGGATGCAAACAGTGCTCCCAAATAGGAACAACACAGTTTGCTGTAGTGTCTGTGAATATATTCAGAGCTCAGGTGCAAGAAGTTCTGCCAAGAGTTTTTTCTCATTTACAGTCATCATCGGTTATAAGCACTTGCAGGAGGACTGCCTTCAAGCCTGGTGTGGTTTAGCTGCCTCTGCAGCCAATCAGTGTTAGGAAGGAAGCTGTGTTCGGTGTCTGCCAGGACTGTAGCAATGAGCTCTATAACTGAGAGCCTGGCTTTTCCAGTTGCTGTTTCTGTCCAATTCCTTTCTGTGTAGGAAGGCAGAGCAGGTGGTGTAGGCAAATGTGTTGTTTGGACAAGGCTACTGTATGCTATTCATGCAACATGGCTGACTAGCTGAGAGTCTTTTAACCCAATATAAACCTGCAGCCAATTAGAGTTAAACCTTCCCCTCCTGAACCCCACAGATGACTGGGTTTAGGCATATGCCTGACATAATCTTACCTATGAACCCTTACACGTTTCATGTGAATGTATCACATAGGTCAATGTGCTAAGTGTCCTCTGGCAAAACCTTCTGGCATAACTAGCAAGGACCAGAACAACTAGGCAAGAGTGCCCAAAGTTCCAGTCCACAACAGAGCTCATAAGGATATCACTCTCAGCTCCCTAGTAAACTAAAGTGATGATTTGGCTCCACAAGAAAGAAGAGAGCACTTAAGCCTGGTAATATCAAACACCCAGGCAATTTCAATAGTGTCCCATTGAGCTCCACAGTCTTCAGATCGCCAGCTCCATCTGGGTTAAAATACGAAACTCAGCGTGTGTCCCACTACATGCTGATGCCAGGGACCAGCTGGGGTAGATCTATAATTAATCATGGTAGGCTGGAAATTCTAAGCCAGCTCTGAGAAGGCAACCTTAGTGTGAACACTGAAATTCCCCAGGAGAAGATGGGTAATTTATACCATGCCTGAGATTAGTCCAGCTAGCTCAGGAGACAAACTGCTAGACAGCAGAGTGGACAGTATGATAACTATGTACTTTCTCTATCCTGGGAACCTCCTGGACAACAGCATGCACTCAAAAATGGGAGTCTATTGATTAGACATTTAGTTAGTGAAACAGAATTCCTATGTGCCAGGACTTCCACCCCTCCTTGCCCTGCAGTCCTAAATTTCTGCACGTCAGAGTAGCCCAGCAGAGACATTTGGGAGAGATAAACACCCCTCACCTCCTCTTCCCCCAGCCAGATATCTGTGATACACACCAGGATAAAATTCTCATCCAGGATGAAGTCTGGGATAATAGATGGTTTATCAGCAATTGATCTGGCATTGCACAGGTTGGAAGAGGCATTTTGGTTGTCATTTTTACTTCCTTAGTTAGAAAGGAAGCGAGACCAGAGAGCAGCCTGTCCTGCTTTCTCTGCAATGGCTGGTTGCAGTTGCAGCCTCCTATCCTATCTCCTCTTGCCCATTATTACCTCAACATTCTTTCTCAGACTCTTTTCTATCCCTCGCTGTTCCTCAATTTCTGATATTTCTTTTAGCAGCAGGCTTCAATAAAAGCAGCAGTCTGATTTCCTACATTAAAAACTCCACCTACTCATGATATCCACCTGAATATGCAGAAACAGAATAGGAAGGATGCTTTTAGACCTAAGGCCTCTCTAAGGGGCTCCTGAAAAGTAGCCTCCTTTGGTGTCACTCATTTTTTAAAATCACAGCCCCATAAAATTGGTGAAGTCCTGAGCCAAGGCGTTTCCTGGATGCTCAGTCAAAGGGGAACAAGGCGCTCTATGGAACACAGGAGTATTTTGGGAACTTTGACCCACATGCAAACATTCGGATGGTGTAATATTCTCTCCTTCCCACTCTACCTAAATGAAATGGTTCTCTCCTTTTCAGCCTCTGTGGAGGGCTAATGAGGACAGAACCAGAAGCCAGCTTGGGCTTTGCCCAGATCTAGTAAGTGGTGAATGATATAGGAAGCTGTAGTATATCATAGATTCTTGTCTTCCAATAGTAAACATTACCGTGTATTTTAGGTCACAGCAGAAACATGACTGTGGATGTAATCCATATTTTCATACTCATCTGAAGGTTTTCATAGAATATAGAGTATGCACATAAATAATGGGCATGTGTCACAGCAGTTATTAGCATTAGCAACCTTAGCAGATCATGAAAAGTACTAAACAAGATTGGACCCAGATAGTACTTGGATGGGAGACTACTAAGAAATCCCTGTGTGGTATGATGGCCTGGGAAATTAAAAATAAAATCCCACAGGAAGATTGTGGCAAGCTATTTTTGTACTGTTGCCAAGAAAACTACATGCTGCCAGGATATTTTCTTTTCTTTTTTTAAATACCTTTATTGAAGAGTTTAACAATACTAAATGATAATACAAACTGAAATCAGGAAAAGAAAAGAAGAAGAA